TACCTCCAAAACCACAAATGTCTGCACCCACCAGAGGCATAGCGTATAGATTGAAGTTCAACATCTGCACCAGGGAACTCGCCAGAGCTTGCCAAGTAGAGTAGACATCGCCCGTCCAGTGATAGGTGTAGCGCCCAGATCCGGCGAAAGATGATCTTGTTAAGAGGAAGGGCCGAAGCTGTGGGTTGATGCGGAGCAGGGCTTCACGAGTGACCTTGGCCTCAGTTAGAGCGTAGATATTGTGCACATTGTAGTGTGGAATGCACTGATGTAGGGCCGAGGGGCAGATGGTGGAGCTAAAGAGGGAATAGCCAGTTATTGGAGGCACGTAAGGTGGGTTATCCAGGTTGTTTGATCCTTCACAACCGGTCTGGGAACCAGCGACGAAGTTTGCTGGTTCGTTCATATCGATCCATAGACCATCATAGGGGACCTTTTCCCTAAAAGCCTTTGCCTGTTGAAACCACCACTCGGCAGTTTCTTTTTTTAAGAAATCCGGAAAAACTGTTTCGCCAGGCCATACAGTGCCCACTAGAGGTTTTCCGGTCCGACTGTCGTTTACAAAGACTCCGGCAGCCAAACCTGAGTTGTAGGGTAGGTAGTCGTCACCAGCATTGCTGGGGATGGCGGGATCCACAATCAACACAGCATGTAGATCCATTTCTTTATGCAAGTCCTTCTCTATGAAGGCTCCCAGATCGGCAAATTTCTCCCCAACTGTCCAGTCTCTAAATCGGTCCATGTAGTCGATATCGAACCATTGAACATCCAGGGGGATGCCCGCTTTCCTGTTACGTTCAATTGTCGTCCGGATCTCGGTTAGGTTTTGGTAACCAAAACGACTTAGCTGGAAGCCCAGGGCCCAATAGGGTGGCACAGGTGGACGACCAATCAGCTCATAGTATTGGGCGACTACATCAGTAGGTTGAGGTCCAGTGAAGATGAAGAAGTCCAAAATGCCCCCCAATGTACGGAAGGTCAGTGAAGGTGCGGGTTGTTTGACCACTTCCATGGCATTGCTGTTGAGGAAAAAGAGCCCAAATGCGGTCCCATCCGAGGCAAGACCGAGGAAGAAGTTATGAACTCCGTAGAGATTGGCATCCTCTCGGGGCACCTGGTCCCGTGTCCAGAAATACATCCGTCGCCAGTCATGCAAGTCTATTGGAAATGAGTCCTCCCGCTCGCCCAGACCAAATCCGTGCTGTGCATTCACAGTGAAAGCCATTTGCAGAAACTGGTCACCATAGACTAGACCACTAGCCATTAGGTTCGTGGAGTCGACAAGAGTGGTGTTGAGACCGTCGTTGCGTAGCACCCGGATGCCCAGTCGAGTGAGGTTGACTTCAACCAGATAGTCCTGTTGTCGGAGTGGGCTCTCATCTGGCGGAGACAGCTGGATGGGCGGTTCCCAGCGCTGTTTGGAGGGATCGAGTACACTTATGCGCAAACGACTGGCAGTTTCGTAGACGACATCGAGCCTGATTTTTTCAATTGGAGCTGCCACAGGGTAGGCCGATTTTGAGCGCGTTGCCTCTATTCTTAAACCGCGCTCTCCACGCAGCAGGGAGGTGCCTTCGTAGGTGGGATAATTGGCGGGGAAGAAGCAGGCAATGGTGCGACCTTGGTCTAGGATACTCCAGCAGCATTTCCGAGCCCGGCAGGCGGCCTCAGAGGCGAAGGGTTCA